AATTTATAACTGTTGCTTGAGCTTTTAAGTTATAAAACAAAAGTTAGAATTATATTTTTTTAAAAAACATAACAACATTGCACAAATAATTTTTCAAATGTTTTAATTTTTTCCAATTTATTAAATTTTGCTTTTTTTATGTTCACAATAAACAAATTTAAGATCTGTTTGTTCAACAAAAGTGACATAGCCATGTTGAAAATAATTTTCTAAAATGTCGGAAACAAGTCATTTGTCAATTTTTTTGTTCACACGCCATTTGGTCTTTTGGCTGTTTTGTTGCTTCTTAAAGTTCTTAGTTGTCTGTTTCTTAAATTATTCAATTATCATTAAGGCAATTAGAAAGTTGCTCTTAATGTTGCGAAAAATTGCATTTAATTGCTCTCATCATCATACAGATTTAGATTCTTAAATTTTTGTTTTTGAAACACTGTTGAAATTTAAACCAATTGCTAGAGTATGGTACCAGCATGAGACATGAGGAATAGCACAAAAAGAAATATAAAATCTTTTAAATTTTAAAAAAGTAATTGCAGTATTATATTGCACTTTTTTTGTGTTCTAAAATATTCTAAGGTACGTAAATTATGTTTTGCATTGAAAAAGTAAATATTTTATACTTAAACTTTTTTAACAAAATAATAATCCCAACAGAAAAATTTTTTACTTTTAAATTTAATTTGAATATTTTATCATTTCAAAACTACACAATATCTCTGATTAATGTTTATTGTTTCAAAAAACTTTTAATTTGTATAAAAACAATTTAAAAGGCTAAAATTGGTTTAAAATTAACAAAAACACTACCCCCAAACTTTAAAAAAATATGCTAAACTAGCAAAATTGTTTTAAATAAGCAATTTTCAGACAATTTTAACTGTTTGGATTTATAAAGCCGGTAATATATTTTTTTGATAAATACAAAAAATGTATAATGCAAGTGTTTTAATTTATTTTTAAGTAAACATGCATTTTTCATCTAAGATTTACACAAATTAATTTTTTTTTTACAAGATTCTTATGTTTTTTTAAAGCTTATTAAACATAATATCCCACCTGCCATTTCACTAAAGTAAGTAAATATAAAAATTTTTAAACAGCTAATCATGCTAATTTCTTGGCATTACGTGTGTATTATTGTCATGCCCCAACATTAGAATAGGTTGGTGTTAATTATTCGCTGTTTTTGTAAATTGGAAAAAAATAATTAAATCAATCTGCTTTTAATAATGTTAATATCTTGTTTATTCTTTTCCGCTTACCAATATAATACTTCCAAATAAATTGTACCAGGTACACAGAAGGCTGTTCTTGCGACAGACCACCTTTTTTTTAAAAATACTTTGATCTGGATTACAGACATTCTATAGATTGTGCGTGTACAAGAGAGCACAAAGGATTAATGAAATTAATTGAATGGTTTATTGTTTCATCGATATAATTTAACACAGACGATAAATTTAATGTTCTAAATTCAGCATAATATGTATGTCATTATCTGTTACAATAATTTTCACAGGCAAAACATTTTTAGAAATTATACGCTCGATAGTAACTGCGTTTCTACTTTCTACAGGCAAAATAAAACATTTTTTTGATTTTCTTTCAATGCCTCCAATTTTACCATTGCCCATTTCTAATTCTTCCCTGGCAATACTTCTTTTAAAAAAAGACTTTCGTCAATTTCTACAACTTTTGGCAACCCGTGCTTGTCTAAATAACAGATCCTAATTGTTTGTGCAGCCATATATTCACAAATACATTCTCCAACTAGATCGCCTATTTCACCGGCTCTTTGCCTACATATATTAAGTTTATATGCGATATCTACAAAAGATATTTTAAAAAAGGTACTTATAGATAGCTTTGAAAATGATTTTTACACAAGTCTTAAATGAATCAAAAAAGCTACTTGCTCTTAATGAACATGTCTACATAAATATCCCTTTGTAAGCCCAACTATAGCCATCTGATGCAGCTTTGCGCTTCACATATGACATTCAGGACCGCCTTTAACACTCGCTACATGTCAAAACTAAGCAAAAAGCACCAATTTTCATGGTGTTGTGTTGAATGTACTAGTATCTGTAAACATATTGTCAATAAATGTTTTATTGATCGTAATAGCTAAGATATCCCATTTCTATTGCTCTCTCAGATTAAACAATTTCAGTTTTAGATTGTCTAGTCATTAAGGGCTAAAAATATTTTTTTTCAAAAACGGGGTATAATTAACACCAACCCGAGAATAATTTTTAAAGTCTATAAAATGCAATTTAGTGATTTAAAAGCATGAAATGAAATATGTTTCGGCGTTCATAAATATTTATTTAAGAAAAATTTAATAAAAGAACATGCGTGATGATATGAGACCGAGAAAGGCACGGGCCTTTAAAAAATTAAATGCAATAAAATAATTTATTGAAATTTTTTTTTAAAAATGGTTTTTTCTTCGTGGCAAAACACCTAGATCCTCAATATAATTTAGACCAGGCAATTGTTATGGCCATTCAATCAGTTTGATGTTTTTTAATCTAAAAAACCCTTTGCAAGCTTTGATGTGTATTTTGGATCATTATTGTGTTAAAATAAAATATTTTCTAAATTTAAATCTAATGCACTTTTAAATAAATTATCATTGAGAATTGTAATATATTTTAAACTATCCATTTTACCTTCAATAATGAGAATATTTTCAATTTCTTTCTTCTAAAAACATCTCAAAATCATGATCGTTTTATTACCATGCTTAATAGTAAGTTTTAAACTTTTTATCAAATCGCAAGCCATCTTTTCGGCAGCAATAAACTATTTCATTTGATTTAAAAAGTGGTATTTTAGATTTATTCTCCATAAAATACTTTTAAAGTAATTTTTCTCTTTGTAATACCATTCTGTTATTAGCCTTGATCTATCTTGAATAATTTTTTTAACAAAAACGATTTACAACCTCTTCTCCTCCCTTTATAACCCAAACCAACTAGTTTTTTACGAATAGTCCTAGTAGTTACTTTCTTTTTTTCTGACTTTAAAAACTTTTTCCACTAGTTTAGTTAAAGCTATTAATGGATCTTTTTTAATTTATTTGTCAAGGTACAGAATATCATTGCTATGCAAATGATTAAACCTGAATTCTTAGTTCAAATAACCGTTATTGTTTTATCATATTCGTTTATTATTCGAGAAAAAGAAAAGATATAAATTAAATTTTTCTGGATTTTTTCTTGACTCTTTTCAACTTTAAATTAAGCAATGATTCTAGGCTTAAACAAAAACTTTTCCTCTTTTAACGTATGGGATTTAAAAGTTTATCAATTTTATTATTTTGGAGGGAAATTTAAAAAATTTTATTTTTTATCTCCGGCTGAAATTTATTTTCTTTGGATTATGTAAATAAAAATCCTCATTCATATATTTAAACCTGCTAACCATATTAAAGACGCATTTTTATGTATTAAAATAGCATTTTTAGAAATTAAATTTTTACTTTGTTTGAACTTTTTGAAAAAAAAAAAACTTTTTTTTTTAATTCCGATACATTAAATTTAATTTTAGCTAGAACCCATTGCGAGGCAACATAGAGCAGACAATCATACATTAACTCCTAAATATATGTCAGCTTTATAGCGTTTTTAAAAAAGAAAAAACGTTATAAATTATATTTTATTAAAGATACAATAGGATAAATAATTTTCACTTTTCAACACCAAATTCCCATAAAAATTGTATTAAATATTCAGAATGCTGTTCTTGTGTAATCCTTGCTTTTTTTCGCAAAAAGAACTTTTGTAGTTGAACATAAATTCATACTTTGAGTATGTATTTCAGGAACCAAAGGGACAATAAAATTAATAGAATAATTATTGTTTCATGAATGTATTTTACTGAATAATTAATTTCTTAAATTTCAAATTGTGGCATTATTATAGGTTACATACTCATCTGAAATGATTCTATATTTAGGTAAAATATTATTCAAAGTTACCTTTGCTATGTTTATCGCGTTCCTGTTCTCTACAAGCAAAAAGAAGCATTTTTTCGATCCTTCAAACAAAATTTTGCCCAGAGTAAACTGCTCCCGTTTGTATTTTTGCCTTAAAAAGAGACTCTCGCCTATTTCAACATTTTAAATCATCTATTTTCGTCTATCCCACCTAAGTTCTCATTCTTTCTAAAATATATTCAAAAATTAACTCTTTGGTTAGATACACTATCTAGAAAACTGTAATTCTATGTACATCAACATCGTACGCAATATCTTTAAATGATTGTTTTTAAAATATTTACAAGCTATTTTAAATATTTTTTTCAGACTTAAATTATAATATATGAATAAACAATTCTTTTTTAGTGAACATTTAAAATTACATGGGCGACGATAAGTCCATAAAAAGCCTTCCATTTCACTTTTAACACTTTAAAAAGACATTCTTGGTGATTTCTCGCAAATAATACAAAGAATAATAAATCCAAATATTTTTACTTTGGATGAATATCTAACAGCAGTAAAATTATCAAAAATATTATTTCTATAAGATTTAATTCATTTTAAGAACAAAAATCTTCATAAATGTATACCTTCTCTTGCGTTATATTTTAATTTTGAATCCTAACTATTTTAATGGCTCTAAATGAAATTTTTAAATACATTCTCCAATTTTAAAATGGTGTAAATCCAACACCTACCCAATTTTGTAATTTATAAACAATACACACAAGCATAAAGGCATAGCATACAATTAAAATAAACACAAGCACAATGGCGTTTTCTGTTTTTGTTCCCTTTCAAGACGAGATAGCATAAACTATCATTAATCAATATATTTAAAAAGTTTAAATCTAATGTTTGTATTTTAACGTTTCTTTTTTTAAAAACAGGAACGATTCCTGACGAGCAACTCTCGTTCCAATGTCGAATGTGTGCTGGATCTTTTAAAATGAGTAAATGTATCCTCGAAATTCATTAAATTGGTTTAATAAAAATTTGGTGGCGTCAAGCCTCGGGGGATTAACACGTAGTTTGAAAACACACCTAAAGGCCAGAAATAATGTAGATTAAGTTCTACCCATAACAAGGATACGCAAGTACTTAGAATGGGTTAAAAATTGCAAAGATTTAAGGCCTTGGCTGATGCATTCTGGGGTGGAATCCCTCAATCTAAATAGGGGACTAGACGAAGTAGAGCAGAATGGTCTTATGGTCCCTATCCTACAGAATTCTTTAGTACACTAACTGAGGCTTGTAAAAGACGAGTGGTCAAAGCAGTTCATAAAAATGCCGTGCGGGAAATTTGGAGGTATGTATAAAAAATACAGATGATAGTAGAGGCCTTTGATGATACTAGTACGATGATGTATTTCCTCAAGTTATTTAAACAATGCTCGATAATTATATCTGCCTTGAGCCATTCTGGACATGGTATGAATATAAATAATAACATGTTTTCCCAGAGTCAAAGTCCAATGGATACCGCGAAGCTTGCTGTATTGAAACGTTTAAAAAGGTGTAAGTTTTGGTGAGTAAGAATTTCAAAGTATCAATTTGACAAGGATCATGGTCCCGGGTCTCTCTTGTACCCATTCAGAAGTTCCTCCCTCTTGCACAATTAAATAAATTTCTTTTAAAATTGTAATATTCTTTAATTTTTCAAGTTTAATTATTTTATGCACGGCACTGCCGTGCTTATGTAGATGGAGCGGGTTTTTCAGAATGAAAGGTATATAGATTTGTTTTTAATAACAGCTTTCATAGGGAATTTATTTATTAAAAAGTTTCTTTAAATACTTTTATAATTGATAAAAGGATTTCATTGATTACTTAAGGAACCCAATACTTTGTTGTGATTAAACAACCTTTTATTGGCTACCGTCGATCGGTTCTTAAGGGGCATGACAGGCACAATAAACTAAATATTTTCCTGATGTTATATGTAATTATTTAAATTGTAAAAGTTAAGGCATTATAGAACTATATTATATTAAAAAAGATTAATTCTTAAATTATGAAATAAAGACATTGGCTAAAAGCCCTCACATATAATTGAAGTAAAAAAACACAATAGCATTAATCAAGTTTATTTTCTTTTTAAACTGGATAACGCAAGCTAATAGTAACATAAAAATTATGTATTCACTACATTGATAAATTTTGATTGGGGAATGCTTTAAATGTTTAGAAAAAACAAGATAGATACAAGAAAATATGTTTGAAGACATTAATAAGCACTATGAAGAAAATATACTACTTATAAGAATAGTGTTTTTTAAAACTGTAAAATAGTCACAAGTATATACAGTTTGAATCAAAAAAAGGAATATTTTTTTTTACAAGTAAAGATTTTTTTGATAAATAACTATTGTTTTGATTTATTAAGACAATTTTTGCAGTACAACTATTAAATTTTACAGCTTTTTTAAAGCTAGACCTTTAATTATTTTTTTCTGTTTTAAAAAAAAAGGAATATTAAAATTTTGGCTCAAAACTTACAACTTTTCCCGCCAAATATTTTTTATATTTTTAAAAATTTACTCTGTATACAGTTGACTTTAAAATACAAAATTAGAATTATTTTGCTTTCCAACCAAAAATTTCCTAAGGTCAAAATCGCAAGAAAATTAAGATTTCACAAAGTAA